CCGTGAGTAAGATTTTTAATATTGAAGCTAACATTTGATGCTTAAAGTTATACTTTTAACTCTCATAAACAGACATGTTAGTTTGACTTTTACTGACATCTGTTTATGTAAAGTGATAAGATTTTTTTTCCATTGAGAAAGTAACCTATGCCAGGCTTTTGAAAATATATTCTGCTTCATTGTTTATTAGAAATCTGCTTGTATTTCAAAGAAGATTTAGAATATTATTCAATAGCCATTAGTTAGAATAGCAATGATATTTATCAAGCGCTTACTGTGTGCCAGTGACTTTCGAAGCATTTCATATTTATAAACTCTTTTAATCTTCACAATAGCTCTTTTACAGATGAACACACTAAGGTTGGTTCCTCATCAGGAGATCAGGTAGTTAAGGCTAAGTTTTGAAATAAACTCATCAGTTCCTAAATTATAGGAAATTTATTTGTGAGAAGAAGTTTATGTAAAATACTATAAAAGGCATTATTTAGTAACATATCAACTTATATACCTTTATCAATATTAATATCTAATAAGTAAAGATATGAATATGTGATTTAACAAAAACGCAAAGACTAGATTTCAATTCTTACCTACTTTGGACGTTAAGATTAGCATTTTAAAGCAGAAGGAACTCTGAGAGATCACCTAAATTTACTATCAAAAGCACAGTTATTGGCAGATCTGGGGTTAAAATTCAAGGCTCTCCCACCAAATTAGGCTTTGCATACACTGATGTGATTTAAGAAATGTAGTTCATCAAAATGATTAATCAGATTTTCATCAACTTTGTCTTAAGTTTAACTGTAGATTTTGGGTGATTTGGCAAATGTAAGTAACCAGTTATCCAGTAATTTTTGCATTCATTATTTACTTCTTCCTTCATTTTTAAAGAACATTTATTGAATACCTATTGCATACCAAGTACTATGAAAAGTCCTGTTCTTGATATCAGATTTGCTCATTTTAATTCAGGTTTCTAGACTTTGATAGGCTCTGTGTTTTATCTACCATTTCAAGCTACTAAATGCTTAGTTTAGATTTCTAGGACATAAACTAAGCCGCAGAAATTATAAATGGAAGATGGTTTATTTTAAAGTAGTATCTTTCCAAATAAAATAAGAAACAGAACCTCAAAGAGAAGGGGTATTCATTGTTACAAGAATTTTTATTTAAGAATATTTACTACTATCATTTTAAAATAATGATTTCCTCATAGTTCCCTTTTTTTAATAGCAGAATTTTCTTCCTTTCTGCATAAATTTATACTAATAGATGAGGAGAACCAAGACGAGTGAGGAAAACATATGAAACTGTAGGTCATCTTTCTTAACAGACAACATGGTCCCTCTTTTTTAAGAATATTGACTTTGTGAAACAGATGCATTTGATGTGCAGGAACATGACTTTGTGGTAAACTAGTATCCTTTTGTTGTTTTCTTGTTGTTGGCCTCTACCTCCATGTAATGCCTTCAGCATCTATGTACCTGATGATGTTACTGACAAAATCAAATCACTTCTAGTAACCTTTCTTAGTTGGCTTTAAAGAAAGATTTCTCTTCTACCAAAGGCTTAGTGATTAAAGACAAGTTCCCCTTTCCTACTTTTATCTAAGTTTTTAAAGAAATAAAATAAATTTAATGTGTTATAATTGCTATTTAAAAAATGGAAAGATGATAGTTTTAATTGGAAGAAGCAGAAGAATCTTTTAATGTATTTCTTGTTCAATGCCCTGTAATTAAAAATTAATCTGGCTTTTTTTATAGCATATGCAGCACTGCAACAAATGAAACAGTTTATATAGTTTGCCCTGTACTAATGCCTTTAAGATTAATTATTTGGAATTTCTGGTGATGGAAATTTAGTTATTTTCACTTGTATAAAATGACCTTCTATGTGAAGTTGTTATGGTTAAATTTAAATTTAATGTCATGCCTTGAATAGAGAATTGGCTTTCAGTTAACATTTCTAAATTAAGTTCAATTACCATTATGTATTCCTATTTTAAGAATAAACATCCACTTTATTTATGCATATGTGACATTAAGTATCTCATATATATTTCCTACTATATTAAGTACCTATGATGGAAGTCTAATAATGAAATTCAGTATTTTTAACTTTTCATTTTAAATAGTAATATTTCTGAATTATATTTGAGCATCTCTAAATATATCAGACTTTTTTTTAACTCTGCAACTTATCAAATGAGGGAAAGTGTGATATTGATTATCAGATCTCCAGGGCAGGAATCTTGTATCATCTACTTTGTACCCCTAACTTATAATGTATCATATATAGTTGGTGTTTAGTAATTTTGTTAAACTTGCCATGCTAAGAAACTATAAAAATTTAGATTATAATTTCTGATTGTAAGCAGTTGGCCTTGATAATGAGACTTCTAAATCATTAGCCAGTTAAGTAAATAGATCCTTGCTGCTCTTAATTCTGTAATGTGTTGTATAGAGTTGCCCGTATGAGAAGCAGCTCTGTTACGCGTAGACATCTATCATTTGAATGGTCTGCCCCGGGACTTTCTGTTTGAGGCTCATGTTTAAAATCATTGTTTTCTTTGCATATGGCATCCAACCAAATGGTGTGTCTCTCGGGATCAGCATCTCTGAAGCCTTGTATTGATTTAAGTTCCAGCTGCTCTGGTGGATGAGGTCGTCTTTATGAGGTTCCCCTCAGCCTCTCCCTGCCACAAGTTTGGTATTTTTTTTTTTGATAAACTCATTATGATTTCCTCTGTCTAAAACCCTTCAGTGGCTTTGACTTCACCACTCTACTGATAGTTTTCTTGTCAAGGTCACTAATGATCTCTATATTCCTCAATCCATGGCCATTTCTCAGCCCTCATCGGTCTTAACATATCAGATATTTGACAAAGTGATCCTTGATATACTACTTTCTCCACTCATCTTTCAGGGTGCTCACACTCCTAGTTTTTTCTTCTTCATTGGTCTTTCTTCTTAGTCTTCATGTTCTTTTTCTTCTCCCCAACCCAACTTAATGCTGCAGTGGCTTTAGACTCAGTCCTTGACCTTTTTGGCCCTGAATGACATTACTCCCTTGGCTCTTGGTTTTGGGCTCTAGTCTCGTGGCTTTAAATACTATCTCTGTTTTATACCAGCTTACATTTCCGTCTCTAACTATTCTCTCAAACTCCAGACTTCTATGTTAGTTGCTTACTCTACATTTCTACTTGGATAGCTTTACCCTAGAAATTTTTCCTCCTCCTCCTGCAGACTGCCCCATCTCAGTTGTTAGCAACTTGTCTTATTGGGTACTCAGACCAAAAACTCTTAAATCAGCTTAATTTTTCCTTCTCTTCACTTAACTATCAAGGAAATCTTGTTGGCTCTTATCTTTAAATTAGATTCAGAATCTGACTGCTTCTTGCCACCTCCAATGCTACTGCCCTGGTCCAGGCCACCATTATCTCATGCTTCGATGATTGCAGTAATCTAACTTATGTTCCTGCTTCTGACTTGCCTCCCTATAGTTCGTTGTCAACTTAGCAGCTAGAATAATACTTTTAAATAAGGCACTCTTCTGCTGAAAATACTCCATCTCTCTCAGAGTAAAAACCCAAAAATCTATAGGACACTGCAGGGTCTGCCACCCTCTTAATTCTCTGACCTTATGTCCTCTTACTCTTCCCCTTGTTCACTCTACTCCAACCATACAGGTCTCCTTACTGTTTTCAACCATACTCTGGGACCTTAGCACCTTAGCACCTATGCACAGGCTGTACCCTCTACCTAGGGCTTTCTTTTCCCCAATAGCTACATGGCTTACTCTCTCCTCTTCTTCAGGCCTTTACCAAAATGACATGTCACCTTCTCAGTGAGGAGCCACCCTGACCTGTACTTAAATGAGAACTGTACTTTATATCCTTTGCCCATTCTTGATCCCTTTTACCCTGCTCTACCTTTTCCTATAGTGCTTATCACAATTTGACATGTTGTTTTTTACGTTCTTCTATTGTTTTTCTCACCATCACCAGAAACTAAGGCCCACCAGCACAGAAATTTGGTCTATTTTGTTCACCTAGAACAGTGCCTGGCACATAGTTGACATTCAATAAATCTTTGTTAAATAAATGAGTGAATGTATGAATGGCTTCCCATTGATTTTAGGTTGATTTGTATCCTTCGCATGGCTTTCAAGGCTCTGCATGATTCAGTTCCTAGCTATTTGCCAGACTTCCCCCCTGCTGCTTCTTTTCTTCTGTCTCTTCTAGTAGCCTTTTAAGCCTTAAGTTCATCTAATCCATTATGGCCTTTTCCATCACATGATGGAGTAGTCCCTTTCCCTGTATTTTTTCCTCTCTTCTACTCCTATCTTCCTTGTCCAGTCAATCTCTGCTTATTCTTCCCAGCTGAATTCTGATGTTATTTCTTTAAAAAAACCTTCACTCATCATCCTCTTCCTCCCAAGGACCCAGGATTATATGCTTTCTTACACCCTGACCTTCTTCTTCATGGAACTAGAATATAAGTTCCAAGAATTTAGAGACCATGTCTGTCTTATTCATTACAAAACTTCAGCAATAAGTCTTGCATGTAGTAAATGCTCAATAAATCTTTATTGAATGATAGATCTAATTTAATCTGTACAAATGATCCTGTGAGAGATCAACGTAAATTATCAACCCAATTTTACACATGCAAAATAAAAGGGCACAAACAGATTTTCTGATTTGTCCAAGGGATATGGAATAATGCCTAGGGAAGGCATTACTGTTTTCTCTTTTCTGTGTTACAGTGAGAAAGGTGCACAATAGTGTGCTGTTTGTGCCAAGGCTGCAGTAGGAACCAGGAAATACCTTCAGTCATGATTTATCAGGTTACTTGTAAAGGATTACTGTACTGTGGTCTAGTCCCAACTCTTTGGATAGTGTAACACTTGCAAAATGTATATTGAGGTGTAGAACTGTTGTTTGCTCTAATGAAACTATTGTAAAACAATTTCTTTAAAATCTAATGGTGTTTTACCAGGTAAATATATCTTAAAATATTCAAAATAAGAAAAGATCTGATTCCTTAAAAAATAGAGGTAGCTTGTCTCAAGCAGAGAACAGATTATAAAACTGCAGAAACCTGCATATTTCAGTAAAAGACTAATTTTTTATGAACTTTATGTACTGGATGGGCATTTTTTGATTAACAGTAGTTCCACATTCAACATTACTTAGAGTGACTTTAAATATAATGTGGACATGAAGAGTCTGTTTAAATTTACTAGGCCACTAGAAAAAAAAGTGTTTCTCTAGAGTTTAACATTTCTGACACATAGGATCCGTGTATGTCAAACATTATTAAAGTACTTTTTTCTGTGTCGGATCATCACCATATGGTATTGTCATGCTTCTTTTAATCTTAAAAGTGAAGCCTTTTGGAAACTAGGACTTCTGTATGTGAGAGAGTTGAATTACAAAGCTTTCTTTTTTTGAGGGTAGGCATCTTTCATATCTAAAAATGTTCATATAAAAATGCCCTATATGTGTAGCTCTTTGTGTTTGAAGAGAACTGTGCTGATTCAGTGAGATTTGTGACATGAATTAGGGACCTTTTGTAATGACTGATATCATTTATCCCGGTGCTCTCTCAGTTCTATTCATGGAGGCGTTTGTGTGGTGAAAAAAAACTGCAGGGGCCAATCAATGGAAGCTGCAAGAGAGGGATTGATTAATGGTGGTTTATTTAGGTTGGTTTCATTTCAGTATCTCACTTTGGTTTTGTAGTCCAGGACTCTGGTTGCCTTGTTGACTTTTCCCATAAATATGGTAAAATCTGATTCCAGGGAATTTTCTAAGGTCAAAAGCTATTACTCCTATTTTCAGTATGTTGCTTACTCTGCTGATGGCTCTTTGGTGCCATTTATAAGCTTAGTGTTTTAAGTATAAGTTATCCTTGTGTGTTTGATTTTAAAAAGATTAAGCATATTTGATCAAGTATGTTTATTGTTTAGAAACTAAATTTTGGGTGCAATATAGGAACTGTTTAAGTTGTTCAGGAATGTTACAAAACATTTCACTGTAAGAGTTATAAACCAAATCTTCATATATAGACTATCCAAACACGTATTGTTATTTAAAATACTTAAATTTGGTAAGCCTACTAAGTTGGAATAAATAGAATGGCATGTGTTTTAGACCAGTTGCCTTCCTTAGAGGTCTTTCATCCACATGTTGGCCTGTACTATTAGATTTGTAGGAGAGATTCACAGATATATCAAGACATCTCCATTTCCTACCCAATGTTCCACCTACAGAAGAAAGTCCCTAAGGGGCATATTTTGGGAGAAAGTGATACTAAAACGTCAATTAACAGCAATGTAATTGAGACATCACACAAAAGTTCAAAAGCTAAGAGGAAAGAAATTAAGTGAATGGATCTGACGAGATAATATGAAATCAGTTGATTTTTGAAGCAGTTATAGACTTCAGTTATCAAAAGCACCATAGGTCTTTCTCCAAGTATTTTTAATCCAGATGAAGCTGGTGATGGGGAGTAAAAGCTATCAGTTCTTAATTTGTGAGCATTAAATTAAAGAAAGTATGTTAATTTAGCAAAAGGTGTCATAAATGATAATATGTTCCTCCATCCATCTCATTGTAGACACATTTAAAACCATATGAATTAGATATGCCTCATCAAACCTTCAGTTGTAGTTGTCATAATTAAAACCCTTATTTGATCTATTGTTTTTTGTTGAGTTGTTAAATACAGTTAAAATTGTCAGTATATAAAAATAATTGCCCAATGCTTTTATGACCACCTTAATGAGAATCTGTAGTTCAGATTCATATGTGTCTATTGAATGTCATTCTATGCATACACTCTTGCAGCCTAATAAAAATAGTAAATAAAAGCTTATTCATTTTTAAATTTTCATAAAAATCTCACCAAGCCCACAGATGAGACTTTAAAGGCAACATTTGTTGTTAGAGTTTGATTTGGTTTCATCAAATTTTTTGCTTTCATAATGAGGTTGTAACTCAGAGGTAGTGCTACTGCAGTTTTGTATATTTCTGAAGTGCTAAAAGCTTCAGCTTGTTGATGGCGTGTGATTGTGTTTGTTTATATGTACATATAAATGGTTTAGACATATAAATGTATATTTTTCCCCTTTCATTTTAGTTGGACTGATCCAGAGGTTTCTTGTACTTCAGATTTACATACCCGTGGGACAAGACTTCTCCACCGAATTGCTGTAAGATATACAGAACTTCTTTCAATATTTCATGTATATTAGACATTTGATCAATCGAAGCAGTATGAACAGTCATTAATTACGAGTGGCAGTTTTTGCATTAAAGTGCAGTGACTTATCAAGTCGACATGAAGTAATTAAACTAATTTAATAGTATTTCTCAGATATACTGTAGTCTGGCATTTCCCTAAGGGAATAAAGCAAATTTCGTCTGGTAAAGAAAATATCAAGGGGTTCTGAATCTGACAGTAAGCAGCCTATAACTTGAAAAAATAAGTAATCCAAAGTTTGAGATTTTTGATTCAGATGAGGGGGTGATGTTATGTTTTGTACTATCTACAGTTAGAAACTGTGTTTGTCTTAAAGTTAATTGAAATACTTCATTTTAATGTTATTTACTTTAGTTTAGAAATATTGGTCCTTTCTGTTTACATATAGATGGCTTGGAATATATTTGTTTTACATGGCTTTGCCGTGAACAGATTGTTTAGCAAAAATGAGAATATACAAATTTTACTTGGTTGAGCTGTTGTCTGAGATGATTCTGAAAATGAAAATAACATTTGATTTGTCTACTCATACAAAATAGAATATTGTTTTGAGATTTTATTAATAAATTTGTATACTCTAAGTGAATCATTACATCTAAGATATGCTATTTTTTAATTTTTTTTTTTTTGGTAATTAGTAGTTGTCCAAGGTCAAAGGTTAGTCTTTTATTTTTTTCCTGCTGGAATTAGTGACTTTTCCTATTAATGAAGTTAATTTTATACTACTTACGTGGTGCAAACTAAGAGAAAGTAAGAGCTTTCTTAATAAAATGAGTAAAATGGGAATAACATACATTTGAGTTTATTAATTTATCTTTGTTTATGTGAATTAAAATACTGATTTGTGCGTATGTTGGTAAAATATGAATTTTAGCTAATAATATATACAGTCTTGTTTTCTTGAATGATAAAGGATAGATAAAACAATTTATATCTTTATTTTATACAACTTTAAATCTTAGTAAACTTTTAACATTTTCTCTTGTCATCTGCCGTGGTCACCAAGATTCTTTGAAGTAGTTCTTAGAGTAATAGGACCAAAGCAGCATCTGATGCTCTTCTGTATATTTTTCTGGTTCTGCAGAAAAAGCATTTTTCAAGACTCTAAAGACATTCTAAAGGTACAGAGTACCATATAAAGCTTTATTTTAAGTGTAGGGGGAAGTGGTTTCCTACCGAATGGAAGAAGACACATTATATTTTATTTTTAAGGTTATTAAGTTCCTTACATAGAAATCAAATCCAGCCCTCTTACTCTTCTGATCTCTACCATCTGTACGTTGAGATTCTTCAGAAGCAGTAGTAGGGGTGCCGGTAGTAGCTTTTTGATTAGAGTTGTGCAAGACACTTGGCTGAAACTTGGAATAGAATCTTTTGCTGATGAGCACCCTTTTACTATCCAAATTATGCTCTATTTGTGTCCCCTCACACTTCAGCTTATTACCCTAGCCCAAGCAATATACTATTTTAACTGAGTTAATAATAAAGCTTTAATTATTGACAAATCAATAGATATCTAGGGTTTAACTTAGTCCTAGCAAGAGAGGAGCTGATACAAGTAAGCCCTTTGTTACCCTGTGATTAATGCCCTTGGTCTCTTAAAAGATGGGAAAACATTTTCATGGATGATGAAACTCATGGTAAGATTCTGAATTCAATTGACTATAATCATAGATTCTCTTGTTCTCGTAGCCACATGGACAAACATTTGGATTTTCCAGGTGGTTTAGTTTTATAGTGTTAGCAATATAAATGTCTTATGGACAAAAGGTAGAAATTATTAAATAACATGGGGGAAACGTTCTCCTTCCTGACCTTGTGAATTTATCAGATTATAAGAAAATGTATGAACTCTGCATTTGAATTTGTTGCTAATAGATAATCAAAATATTTTGCTATTTTAGGAAGTAATGATAGAGACCATGTTTTTACAAGAAAGAAAGTAGAATAAGGAGTATTGATTGTTTCTAAATACAGCTTTTTCTTTTTCTTAAATGAAAAGACTTTTCTATCAGCATCCTTAGTGTGTTAACTGTGTTTCGAGCAGCATAGCTCCAGGCTACTTTAAATAATATTATTTCTCTAACCATCTTGGAAAGTCACATAGCAGAAGGATATCTGGCTTCTAAAATTGTTCATTGTCAGAATGGAAGGGGCGATTTGTTTCACAAAGATACACTTACACATCAAGAGTTTTTCATAAGTAGTCTTGCTAGCTGGTTTATGAATTTAGTAATCATTCCTTCAACATCTCCCTGCATCTCTCATGTTCACTGGATGATTATACTGCTCAGGGGAGGGTCATAAGTCTGTGGGTTAGTAGATGCCTTAGAACTAGCAACAGCTCTGCTTGTGCAGTCACTCAGTCAACAAATTATTAAATTCCTGCTATTCATACTCCCCTATGTTAGGCATCCCATGTTAGGGTGTCAGTCTGCCTTGAATCTGTATACCTCTCTTCACTATGACTACCCTCCTAGTCCCAAACCATCATCATGTTTTCCCTGATCCACTGTTAGCATGTCCCAGTAGATTTCCCAGATTCTCCTCTTATCCTTTTCCAATATAATTGCCACACTTCAGCTAAAGTGATTGTTCTCTAAAAACCAAATAGAATTTTCATTGTATCAATGACAAACTCCCAAATCCTCAATACTCCTGTGTAATCTCGTCTCTCACCTGTTCCTACTCATCTGTGAACTCATCCATCTTGCTGGAAGGGAGCCAGTGGCACCACCATGCCATGCTGCCATACTTGTAGATGTTTTTCTAACTGTGCATACCTATGTATGTAGTAGGGTTATTTTAGTTGAATCTTAGGACAAGATGAAAGTAGTTAGCCTTCTGCATCTTCTTTAGGGGCTTTCCATAATGCAGTCCTATCATCAGAATTCCAGGAAGGAAAGGAAAGATCTTTCATTCTGAGCAGCTTCTGTTTTTGTAATTGCCCTTTTAAGAGATAAATACTTGAGAATTAAAGGAAGAATTTTACCCAAATCTTTTTTTGTTTGTTTGTTTTGTTTTGATATTTTGCATCTCAAATGTGACTGTTTTTTTTTAAATGAGGGCTATTACATACTACACTTTTTTTAAAAAATGAAAGCTAAGAAACAATTTTACTTCTTTATTGATTCTTTGTTTTGGTTCATACCTAGGCCTTTTTTTCCCTTTAGCACCTACAAATTATTCAAAATCCTGCATCTTTGGGTAAGGTGGATTTCAGAGTTACATAACCTGACCAGAAATTATCCAAACACATTGCATTTTGCATGTAGAACAAAGGGAATGTTTACTGTATATTTTTAACATTGAAGTAACCGAATTCTCTCATTATTTCTCTCTTCCAGTGTCAACCCACAAAAGAAAATATCCTTTCTTGCTTTTTACAAGTAAATCCTTCATTTTGATTTGCTTATTTCTTATTATTAGTTCCAGTTTTCATTTTCAAAGTATTTTAGAGTACTTGTGTCTCACTGTTTGACCTGAAGTTAAAAGTTAATAAGCAACAGATTTTTTAGACTTCTTTCATTTCGTGGTCTCTTCTGTACCACATTGTTATGGCAGTGGGAATCTATTGCTCCCCTGTGTAAGCTGTTAGGTGTTTCAGAGCCTGGGGGCAGACATCTGGTGCACAGGAGGAACCCCAAGAACCTGAGCTCTTGGAAAAGAACCAACTGCATCTTGAAATAGAAATCCATTTCACTATATTTGATGCTGCCAATCACAATAAATGATTTTGGAATATTGTATTTTTGACAGGAATTGCATTCATTTTACTGAATACTGTTAAGCTGCATTAATTCCTTTCTCCATCCTGATTTTGTAATTATCTCAGTGAATTCTGAGAGACATTTTGTACTGTTGATGCCTCTGGTGAATTGACATTATTTTTCTCATTTTCACCCAGCTTTTTCAATATATGGGATGAAAGCACTATGAAAGCCAGTGGTGAGCGTCATGTGCTATTTGGAGAGTTTGAGATTCTTAGCCTACAAATCCTAGGGAATATTATTGCCAGAAGGTTTCACATGTTGAGCCCTCAGCTCTTTGGAGTACTACTTTCATTTGGAATCTAATAAATTCTTTAAAAAGAGAGACCTTTAAAAGGCTCCCTAGTCTTTAGAAATTTTAATTGATCTTTTGTGATGTCTTCTTTGCAATAGTCTGAATTTGAAATTATATCAGTAGAGTTTAATGTTTTTAACCTAGAATCCGGTTTAAGATTTATGGTACTCATTTCAGAGTTTCTGTTTTGTCCTTTTGCTCTATCCCCTAGTTTTATGCCTTTGGGCTGGACACTTAAATTCTGTCTCATTTTCCTCTTCAGTGAATGGTAATGTGAACTTTTTTTCTTTTATTTTAATTGCCAGAGCTAATCAGTGTTGTTTTTTTTTAAACGTTGGTTTTTCTCTAAAAAATTTTAGGAGGTTTAAGTTCATACACATCTTAAAGCTTCCCTTTCCGTTTCTGTAACATGGAAAATTAAAACACACTCATAAAACAAAGCTTTAGTCTCAGGGTAATTTAATGAAAGTTACTCTTATATCACTTTTTTGGTATTGTTAGTGAACTAGACAAAGTGGTCAAAAGAAAAATTTAATAGAAGTTTCAGGTCCTTCTACTCTATTGAATTTTGTTCCTACTTCCTCTTCTTTAGTGATATTGGAGGCAGTAGACGCTTTTGAAACTTTAAACCAAGGAAAGTGAATATGGCTTCACAGCTGCAGATCTGTTCTTTTCACGTGCCATTGGTCTTCTTCAGCTACTTGAAAGCCACCAGAGTTGAGAGAATACCTAAATTTAATGTCTTTAGGTCAGAATGACATTGGTGAGAGCTTTTGAGATTGTGTCCATTTACTAGGCACAACTCTTCCTCTGAAAAATTTTCTTTCTTATCTTTTTGGTCTTTTTAATTCCTTCCTTTGAAGAAAATAGCAGTTGCGTTGCTAT